TCCTAGCAACAGTGAACACATTAGCACCCTAATTATGGCCTCTAAATATTCTTTCCCAGTAAAGGGAACCCGGGATCCGCGAGTCTGGGGCAGGATACAAAACTGGGCATACTGTGCCAAAAAGGAAGAAAGCTAATGAGGTCTAATGGATATGTCAGAGAACACGCAGGAAGCCACTAATAGGGGCTCCCACTGGCCAATGGAAGGATAATCTGGGCATCAAAAAGATGATTGAAATGGATTAAAGCCACATCAGATGCATCAAAATCCATGAGTTCATAATGATACTAAGGAAATTCTTTGAGAACCATTGGATGTTACCAGGGCACTAACTCACTGTTCTGAATTTTGTTAAATAATAGGAAATACATGGTATCTGCCATTTGTTTTGCCTTTGCTTAATGAGTAGTGTTTCAAGATAAGCAAATAGGGGAAGTTAATAAATACATCAAGTTGGAAAAGTCAGCAATTTGTCACCCCTAATGAAATAATGAATCCAGGTAAAAATCATCAGTAAATGCTAACCCTGTTAGGGGAAAAGTCGGTGGAGGACTTTATAATGGATAGATATTGACCAGTAACCTCTGAATCTGCCCGTCAGTATTTACATTCCATTAGATTATGCACCTCCTTTTTTTTTTCGTTTTTTGAGACAGAGTCTCACTTTGTCACCCCCATAGAGTGCTGTGGTGTCATAGCTCATAGCAACCTGAGAACTCCTGGGCTCAAGCAGTTCTTTTGCCTCAGCCTCCTGAGGAGCTGTGATTACAGGCGCCTACCACAACTTGCAGCTATTTTTAGAGACAGGGTCTAGCTCTAGCTCAGACTGGTCTTGAACTTGTGAGCTTAGGCAATCTGCCTGCCTCAGCCTCCCAGAGTGCTGAGATTACAGGTGTGAGCCATCATGCCTGGCCTGCACCTCCTTTTTGACTTATAAGTACACCATATTACTTACCTATAACAGATTCTTTATTTCTTTTTTTGAAACAGAGTCTCACTTTGTCACC